TCAAAAAATCAAACATGCAAATGCCATTTGACCCAGTGATCCCACTTCTAGGAATATATCCTAAGAATCACAAAACACTAACCAGAAAGAATATATGCACCCCTGTGTTCATAGCAGGGTTATTTACAATAGCTAAGATCTGGAAGCAGCCCAAGTGTCCATCAGTAGATGAGTGGATAAAAAAGCTGTGGTTCATTTACACAAAGGAATACTATGCAGCTGTAAAAAAAAAAGGATCTATTACCCTTTGAGACAGATGGAGGGAACTGGAGAGTATTATATACTAAGGGAAATAAGCCAGTCAGAGAAGGGCAGATATCACATGATGCCACTTATATGTGGAATCTAATGAACAAAATAAACTGACAAATATAGGCCAGAGGTATGGAAACATGGAACAGACTGAGGAATCTCAGAGGTAAGGGCAGGAAGAGATTAACCAAAGAACGTATGTGCATATATGCGTTGCCCATGGATACAGACAACAGGGCGGTGAAGGCCTGGGGCAGGGTGGGAACCGGGTGGAGGGGGGCAGTGGGGGAAAAAGAGGGTACATTTGTAATAGTCTCAACAATAAAGATTTAAAAATTCCCCAGAGGGGCTCAGCAGCAGATTTTAACTAGCAGGAGAATCGATGAACTTGAAGGTAGACTGACAGATATTATACAATCTAAAGAAAAGAGAGAAAAAGGAAGAAAAGTGAACAATTTAGAGAAATCTGGGAGACCGTTAAGCACAACACACACATGATGGGAGAACCAGAAAGAAAGGAGAGAGAAAGGGGGAGAAAACATACACAAATAATGGCTGAAAACTGCCTAAATTTGATGAAACACATTAATCTACATGTTCGAGAAGCTCAACTAACTCCAAATAGGATAAATGCAAATCCACACCCAGATATACTGTGGGAAACCTGCTCAAAGACAAAGAAAAAAATCTTCAAAAAAATATGAAGGTTTTGGTTGAATAAATCCTTGTGCCCAGGGTATAGAATACTATGCAAACATTGAAACAATATATTTTGTTGATGCCAGAGCAATGTTTCATTTTGCTAAGTGAAAAAAAGCAGATTATAACGTTATATATAGTCTGATTATTTTTTGTAGTAACGGATACACTTAGATAAGTATAATAAAGCACTTAGCACACTGGCTATCAATCACAGAGCAAAGCACTCCGCAGAGAGTAGCTATTTCTGGTTCTGTTGATGCAGTTGTATTATGACCTTTTTAAAATTAACCAGGCCAGACTGATATTATCTGCAGAGTTTGTATTAATCATTTCATGCCAGTCACTCAAAAAAGATATCAGCACCCAATCTACTGTGTCTGACAAATGTTCTCCTACTTCAGCTTCTGTTGAGTGAAAACAAAGACACCAGCGCTCACTCCCCAGGAGGCCGTCCCTGCCCGGCAGCTTGCTTCCGAGCCCAGCAAGGACTGCCCAGACCAGGGGCCCTGAGAGAAGGGGGCTCTCCTGCGCCTGGAGGCAGCTGAAGGGGCTGCTGGCAGCCGGCTGTTCCTGGCGCCTCATTAGCTATGGGAGCCGCTGCCAGGCTGGCCCGTGTTTCCCCCTAAACCCTTCACCAGAAAGCAGGCTTGTTCTCTGGAGTTCTTGGTGCATGTGCAAAGGTGGTGCCGGGAGAGGGAAGCTGGGGAGACAGGAGGATTACTCTCCATCCAACGTGTTTGGGCTGACTGCCTAGGGAATGGCATGTCACCGGAGGATTTTAAGCTGAGAAGTCAAATAATTCGTTCCTTATTTTAGAAATCTTGCTGTGGTTGTGTTGTGGACGATGGACTGAAGGTGGGGAGCTACAGAAAGTGGAAAGATAATGAAGAACTCCAGGAGAGAAACGATAAGAGCAGGGAGTAAGGCAATGGAAGTGGAAGGAGAGAAGAGAAGACGGTTGAAAAAGTTTCTAGGCAGTAGGATCAACAACACATAGTTACGAAGTGAATTTAAGGGGCGAGAGAGAAGGCAAGTCTAGATTGATTCTCAGCCTTCTAGCGTGGATGGTTCAATGGGAAAATGTGCTGGGGATGAACAGGAAGGCAATAGGCTTGGCTCTGCCCTATCCCCTTGCCCTGCTCCCCCTGGGAACGCTCTCCTCGAGGCCTTTCGTAGTTCTGGAAGGCCGGGCAGCCGCCGGCTCCTCTCTGTTTTCTCCTGCCTGTAGCTAAGCCTTGGCTGACATTTCTGCCCAAGATCACTAAAGCCTGACTCCAATGTCGGGTGTGAGTCATGCTCCTCCAGTGTCCCCTACCCAGCCAGATCTCTGAACAAAACCTCTCGGTACTCCCACACCCCTCCTGTTCCCACCACCATCCCCTCCTCTTAAATCACTCAAAAAATATAGGGCCACAAGATCAAAAAGCCATCTGGTTGACCTCTCACAACAAGATAGATAAGACCAAACATGAAATATTCTGTTTAATTACAGTACCATTCTTCCAGTAGTACTGCCCTTTATTTGTTTCTCTACCAAAATAATAAATTCTATCTATTCATAGTTTAAATCAGTTTAAAGAGCTGGCCTAGGAACCCAACTCATATACTGTATTTTTCTTGTGGGAGGAAAAAAGTGTTCAGCAATTGTTTCTACAAATTAGCCATGTTCAAAGTATTGTCCTCAGAGAACCTAATTATCCTAACTTTCTAAATAATTGTTTATAAACTTTCAGAACTAACCCACTTTTAAGAGAGAGACTTCCTGTACTTGACTGCTATAAATAAATGAATCCCAAAAGGCTTAACAGATTGCAGAAGGAGGGTAAATTTACATATGGGCAAACATTAACAGAGGAAAATATAATTAGTATTACATCAATCTTTTTCAAGCATTATAAATATAATATGTACAGCTATTAGTGCTACAGCAAAACACCTGTCAATTATTCACAAGATTTTCCAATCCTAAGAAAATATTCCACAGTAAACAGATGCTACATACAGAGATTCAGAGAAAAATCCGCAACCCCATCCAATCTAATTTTTCTGAGTGTCTCCCAAATATCACTCATCACCTATGTATCTGCTACTGTAATTAATGGTTCTCTCTTATTCTTCCCACTTTGGGTTTGGCAGCAGAAATTTCATTACTAGATAAGCTTGTTTTCATTCAGATAAAACCAAGGTAACTTCTAAATTCATAATAAGGTGGTTGTTTGAAGTGAGGATAATGATAAACCCTTAACTTTTACTTGCTGAATATTTAATAATCTCCATAATGAGAGTTAACCTAAAGCTTGCAAAAAATATATTAAAATTTTCCTGCATTTTTATATTTGGGAGGTTTTGTTTTTTTTAAGTTTGGCCTTAGTCAGATATCATTTTTGTAAGCCTAAAACATTAGAGTAATACTGTCTAATATTTCTATAATTCTTTACACAATACTAGAAGTTTTTTTAAAAAGAAGGCACACACTGGGACATAAAGACTCCTCCTCCAGGCTATACTCTTCTCTCTGTATGTTCTGGTGCCCAAGTTTCCTGGGAGACACACGTGATCTGGCAAGCAGATGTAGACACGTGTCAAAATGAGCCAGCTTTCTTGCTACATGTAATTTCAAAAGCTTAAATGATGGGCTTCATGAGTTAATTTACTTTTAATTAAAATGACATGATGTAACATCTTCCTGAGATATCATGTACTTAAATCATGATGAAACTATATATTTGAATCTATTTTTAAATGTCCATAAGTAATAACAAAATTAAGTGTGAAGAGAGCTGTAGGTATATAACTCAAATTCAATCCAAAGCCCAAGACCAATTTTCTCAATCTGGAGAAATGTACTCCAAAAACTGCAAGACTTCCCCTGAGGGTCAGGAATCCTATCATATTTTATTTTATACCTCAAGGCCTTTACACAGTCACTGGCAAATAGTAGATGCTCAATAAGGCAAAATTTAAAGAAACTCATTCCTCTGAACACACCTTTTCGGTTTCTGTCTATTTTGTCGTTGTTTTGGAAAGGCTGGGAGAAGGCTGTGATAGAGGAAAGACAGAAGGTGAACTGGAAAAGACCACCAGGGCAGAAACAAGCGATCAGTGAAAAACCCACCGAACAACCTAGAAACGAACAATCACAAGCGTGAACAGAAGAGACAGGATGGATGGGGACCTGCCAGAGCCAGACTAGCCTTGACAGTGCTCCTCCCTCCTGCGCTCACTGTCCCCAGCCAGAGAAGAGGTGACGCGCTGTTACACTCCCGAGAAGGGTGAAGTGTGCGCAGCCTTGCACATGGCTCATCTTTGAGAGCGCGGAACTAAAGCTGATTTGCATATAATAACTATTTACTTAATTAACAGGCTCTCAGCCAGTTTGTCCTTCAACCCATAACAAGCCAAAAATTATGTAAGATTGCTTTTCAAAGAAAAAGAAATTTCCCCCAAATAGGATCTACTGCTTACAATAGGATACAATTTTCCACTGGGTTTTTGCAAGGAGATGTAGACTGGTTCCATGACGAGGAAGGGTAAATTCCTTTGGTACAAAGAGCTCAGAGAAATCCAACATGCATCTATCACTGAAAACACAGAATTTTTCAATTTAAGTTTATCCTTAAAGCTAATATCTTTAGCAAAAATTCTTAAAAGCAACAAGAAGGAAAAAAATAAAGAAAAGCTGTACATTCCCCACAGAGGTGGAAGTTAACCTTAAAATGAAATAAGGCACAGTGTTTAGGTTTATAAATGGTTTTGTTAATAGGCTAGCAGAAACCTATCAAAAAGTATTGTTTATTATACCTTAAGAACTTTCCCTTATGGTTCAAGAAAAAAAAAATCCAAACCAACCAATTCATCTATGAATAAAAAGACTTTTTGAAATCAATTTAATGGAATGTATCAAGTTCCAAATTCAAAAGAACTTCTTTGACTCTGGCCACAACAGATTTGAGTCAGGTTTCAAAGGGCTAAAGTAAGTAAACGATCCTAACACCGAAACGCATCGTCCTCTCAGGGCTGCGGAGAGACCAGCCCCCGCCACTCACCAGATGTCCGACTTGGTGTCGTAGCCTTGGTGTTTCAGGGCCTCCGGGCTCATGTAGTGGGGAGTTCCGGTTAAAGTGGTGGCTAGATCACAGGATCCCATCAGGAGTCGAGAAACTCCAAAATCCCCTTGAAATAATGATAATAAATTTTATGAATATTTTAAAAACAATGAAGATCAGCCCTGGAAATTAACAACTGGGTATCGAACTTGACAATTTTAATATGCAATGATTCATACCATTTTAAAGGGAAGAAAAGACATACGATATATTTTAAATTACACAATGCTGGTGAATAGCTTTAAAAATGTAAGCCTTAGAGGGGGAAGACAATTTTGAGTCAGGAAAGTAAACTATGGAAACCAAAATTTTTTATTTATGGAATCGTGAAGAATCAACAACTTGAAATGAACAGTTGTTTCAAGTTTGAATGACAACAAACAGAATGATTGTGAACGAGCCGAATATCATGNAATGATTGTGAATGAGCCGAATATCATGATTTGCAGCATCATGGGGGGGTTGTTGCTCAGCATCTACAATACAGGGAAATTTTAAGTAAAAGACGTGGGACTTTTCAGAAACATGACTATACAATTTTGAATCCATCAGCTTCTCTGTACTTGCCTAACGAATTGCACGCTTCTATGCCTCCCTCTCTAAGAACATTTTTGGGAAGATCAAACAACCCAGCAGCAGTTATGAGCAGGGGTACATCTGCATTTTCATTCCCTATAATAACCGCTAATTGCTTGTGATAAAATAAGCAGGAAAACCTGTAGTAACTAATCACACTAGTAAAACAAGTGCTAACCACTTGCAAAGTGTCTGGTACAGAGTGGGAACTCAAAAAATACTAGTTGAATCTACAAAGTATGTAGCCTATGTCTTATACCTTAACTTATATCAGATAATCAGAAACAAAATAATTGGGTTTAATTGGCCCCAACCAAACAAGAACAAAAATTTGAGAGCTTTAAATAAACCAACGATTACTTTGATACTTCGAGGTACTATGTACTTCAATCTGATATGTCAATAGCATCTAAATAGTATGCTCCCCCATGTTGCCAGAATATATACTTTTAAAAATCTTACCAATTTTAAGTAGATTATTTTTCAGAAATATATTTTTTGATTTCAAGTCTCGGTGAAGTATCCTCCTAGAAAAAGGCAAAAAACTTATAATTTCATGCAACATGTAAAATTCTAAAACCCTGATATACATAATATATATGGGTGGCCCTGGCCAGCTAGCTCAGTTGGTTAGAGCATCATCCCAATATGCCAAGGTTGTGGGTTCAATCCCCAGGCAGGGCACAGGGCACATACAAGAATGAACCAATGACTGCATAAATAAGTGGAACAACAAACTGATGTTTCCTTCTCTCTCTCTCTCTCTCAAATCACTCAATAAATAAATAAAATATATATGGGTGTATGTGAAGTAATTCACACATAAATATACATTCCCATAGATACATCTTTAAATGTTTAAAAACTACAAAGCCACAACATTTTCTCGTTTCCCTAAGGGAACAGTTTTTTTAAAAAACTCCTTCCTCCCCATGGGCTTGAACCTCTGGTGCACAGACGGGGCTCAGTTTTTTTAAAGATGTTTATGTTCTGAGGCTCGTTACCAACTCCCCGAGGCTTCCGTAGGCTGGTCCAGTGTTGGAGGGACTTTGGAGCCTTGGACAAAGCTAGAACCCTGTTCTGTCTGAAAGTGCAACCCTACAGCTTTTCTTCTCTTTGGTCCAACAAATTGTCGAATCTGAAACATCATCTTCTCTGGATGCAACAGCAGAACTGGGCACAAGGGAACTCCTTGGGGACAGACAATGTCTTGTTCATCTCTTTTTTTTTTTTTTGCCCCCACTGCTAACACAGAAACTACAAAACAAACAAAACAAAAAACACCCCTGGCTCATTTCTGTTGAAGGAGGGGGTTTAGTTAACCTAGACTTTTAAAAGATGGACACAACAGCCTCTGTGCAGAAAGCCCATTTTCTGGTGACCTGAGGCCTTACTGACTCGGGTGCTTTCACAGCGGAGGAGAAACCAGGTCAGGGACACTTTCCCTAAGGTGACTGCCTCATCGCCTACCATCCCACGCATTTCCCCAGCCAGCATCGTGTCAGAATGGCTAAATACTCCCTGAAAGGTGGCATGAGGAATTTATTTTTAACGCAGTGAGGCTCCCAGGGAAGGGACCTACTTGTGAATCCAGGTCAGGAAATATGTCAGAAGATGGAGGTATCTACCTCAGGTTTGAAGATGGGAAAGCAAAGAGAAGCTGTGGTCTCTGTGGTGTTACTGGAGAGCCCTGCTTTTGCCTGGCACCCCCTTCCTGAGGATGTTCCGAGGTCGCTCTTTTCAAGGAGGCCCCGCTCCGTCCCTGCCTTACAGCCCTGAGGGCTCCTCGTGGTCACGAGGGCCCAGAGCATGAGTGAGGACGCCAGACAGGCGCCTCAGAGTCTGGGACGAAGGCCACGCGGCAGAAACCAGCAGCGGCAATTCCCCGGGCCGTGCGTCACCGGGGACTCGGCGCTCGTGCCAGCATCTTTGGCAAGAGGAATTTGAGGTCCACCCCGAGACCCTGCCAGATAAAGGACAGGCTTGTAGGGAAGGGAGCTGATGTGTCAGAAAATATTAAGATAAGGGCTTAAGTAAGACTTAATGTTATCTGCTATTGAATTTCATCAGTGACATTATTATTTCCACAACTATATAAAACCTGAACACTTGGGTTATAATATATCTTTCCTTACAACTTCACTCCTGTACCCTAAGAGCCTTCCCAACTGAACCGCTCATCGTTCATTCTAAAAGTGCCACGTTTTCCCAGCACTGTGCCTTTGCTCCCTCTGTTCCCTAAACCTGGAATGCTTACATTATATTCTTACATTACAGTCAAAACCTACCTCGGGTCAAACATCACTTCTTCTAAGAAGCCATCATCGATTCTCCCAAAGAGAAATATTATCCCTCTCCTGACCTCCCACAGCACCTAAATTGTACTTTTCTTGGCACTCTGATCACTTGCTTTAAATTAGAGGACAACTTCCATTCAAGTGCATAAACCTTAAGCTTGATGAATTTATCACCCTTGTAATCCATCCAGATCAAGGTACAGAACGTATCCAGCCTCTCAGAAGGTTTCTTTGTGCCCTTCCAGTCAAAACCTCCTTCCAATATATTCTGACTCGCCACAGATCAATTTTGCCAGTTTCTGACCTTCATGTCAATGGAGTCATATAGTTTACACTATTTTGCACCTGGCTTCTTTCACTCAACATCATGTCTCTTAGATTTATACGGGTCATGTATATCAATTGTGTATTCTGCTTTTTTTTGGGGGGGGTGTATGTTTTGTTTTAGAATTACATCAACTTTTTAAAAATAATTTTTTTAATTTATTGATTTTAGAGAGGGAGAGGAAAGGAGGAAAAACACACTGATTTGCTCTTCCACTTATTTATGCATTTACTGGTTATTCTTGTGTGTGCACAGACACATTCCAAGGTGACCATGCGATGCTTTTGTAGCCTCCTAGGGTATTTATAGCTCAAGCCTGCTGTGAGATATGATAAATTCATAGCATGCTAAAGGTATCTGAGCATCACTTGTGATTCACAGGATATGAGCAAACATAGGGAATGTATTTAATACAATTTTCTGTCTAGTATTCAAGGCCAACTTGATTCCTAGAAGAACAACTAAAAAAAGCTATTCATGTAAATCTTCTAGATATAATCATGCAACAGTTTCTCATGGAAAAGTATATCATAGATATTTAATTATAGTCATTTACCTTTTGGTCTTGCTTTCTTTTAGTTCTACCCCCCAAAATTTCATTTTCAAGTTCAGACATGACTGTTTAAAAAAGTCCTGTCCCTCAGTCACACGTGAACATACCTCTCATGCATGTAGTCAACTCCCAGCAACAGCTGGATAAACCATTCTATTATCTGACCTTCTGAAAATGTTTTTCCAGCTTCTTTATACTCCTGGATTTTACAGTCCAGATCTCGGCCCTGAAACAAAACAGCGTAACTTATCATATTTTTTTCAATTAACATTTTAAAATCAAACTCTTTCAAATACAGTTGATACATAGCAGTCACTGCTGTTATAAGAAAGTGAGGGCATACTGTAAACTCTATAACTATCACAGACAAAGGTTCGCTTCTTGACTAAACTCCAGGCAGGCTCCTCTGAGCCCTTTCCTCAACTAGGCCTCAACCTTACTTATCTACCAAAAGAATTTACTGCTCGTTCCAGCCCACACCTCAAGATAGGGCCGTTTCCTGGTCTCTGTAGGGGAGCAGGAGCCTAACTTCAGTAAGTGCCAGTTACCAAACCCAGATATACATGGACCAACCCTTTCTGCTTTTCGTAATTTTCATTTCCCTGGCTCTGCTCGGCCCCCACTGTTCCCCCTCCCCCACTCTCCCTTTAAGCCATCCACTCACCTCTGCACATATCAGATTGGAGCTCAGCTCTTTCCCCTACTCTCAGTAGTTAATAAATAAACTGTTTTCACTGCTTTAAGTAAATGTATGGCTGTATTTATCTTTGACATCGCTCAAGGACAAAATCATTCTAAAGGGTTTTTATTTTTATTATATTACCTAAATATTACATAAAAATTTATTTTTATTACATTGCAATACATTACATATTTATATATACCCACATAAAATTAGGAATAACCTCCCTTATGCTTAGAGTTTTATATAACTATAGAACCCTAACATATATACAAATTAAAAATATAAAGCCAATAAAACTCAAATGAATGATATTAGTATAAAGTAATAATGTTTGGGTGAAAGTAAGCTGGCGCTTGCATTGTGCATCAGTGCTGGCTGCTGGAGTACAGATTCTTTCCACTTTGGCGCGCCCACACTAACGTGTGCCTTGGGATTACTTAACTCCTTTTCTCTACTTAACTGGAGCAAAACTCTCAGCAACACAGCAATGCTGATTTATGTGGGGTCCAAAACATCATTTAGTTAGTCTCTGTCCTATCACTCACTGCTGATAGTAAAAGGATAATACTTGGTGCCAAAAATGGATCATGAGCACAAATAACAAGCATCTGAAATTGCCTGCAGACTATGATATAAGCCCCGTTCTGATTATACTTATCCTAATGTATTTCATCCACTGCAGAAATGGAAACACGAAATGTTAAATTCTCTTAGAAAATCCCTATACCTGATTCTTTTTACCTTAAAACACTGACATATTACAGACAATTCAAGAACTGTTCCTCTGAAACAATGGATGGGTTAAATGCAATCGTGCTTTGTCTTTGGGGGAGGCCAACGCCACAGGCCCCATGAAGAGGGGAGAGGTAAGTGCCACATCCATAAGAGCGGCAGAGCCAAACATTAAGCGACTCGCAGACCACTCCTGACAGTCATCAGCGTCAGATGCGAAGGAAAAGCATTTGGAGGCAATTAAACAATCAGGGAAATTACTTCCAATCAAACAACCTGAAGTCGACAGAATAAGCGATCTGTATTTTTTGTTTCCTTCCANCTTTTTGTTTCCTTCCAGTGCGACGTGCAAGTGTTGGCCTAGGAAATCTCTCCTTCGCAGGGGCGCAAGGCAAAGGACACCGCCCCTCCCACCTGCACCCGCTCCCACTCCCTGTCCTGCTGAATGTCCTGGGCGAGGGGACCGAGGCTTGCTGGAGTTCACAAACACCGTGACTCGAGTACTTGACTCCTTGTCACAAAGACCATCGTTTCCTTCTCTTCTCCAAACCTGTCTCTAAGTTAGGCCACACAGCTGCGCGGCCACAATCTTTCTGTAAATTGCTTATGACGCTTCTGCCGATGGATTATTCTAACATCCTGTGAGGAGTCACAGAAGCTTCACATGAAAGGCGAGCTACAAATGGGTGTGTTTTCCCATCCCCATTTTCCCTTTCTATCCAAGGGGGATCTAGCACACCTTTCTCTCACAGAAACAAACAAACAACAAAAAACCCGGAAAAAATTTTAAAAATATCTCTCCTTTCAATATCCCATTTANCCATGCACAAGAGCAGCTGTCCCTATGAAAATGGCCTTCGCATTTGCAGAGCGCACTCTCTGGGTGACATTTATTGTTAGTCTGACAAGCACCTCCGTACGGTCTCTCTTCAAGTAGTGAGTAGAAGTTTCCTGCATTGATATTAAATGTGTGCCTCATTTCCTGTGACTACATAAATATATATTTAATAGTAAGTCTTAAAGTGCACTGTTAAAGGAGAGACACAGACTGCCCCTTGCTCTCTGGGTGGCACCGCGAGAAGGGGGCGCGCAGATGCTCAGCGTTAAGCAAGGGACGCTCAGCTGAGAAGAGCAGCAAAAGTCCAAGTCAGTCGGAGCTGGGTCTCAGCCTCCTCAAGCTACTCCGCCTGCAATTTTCATTTGGCGTGTTTATCTCCAAGGAAAACTTTGTTTTGTATTTACTTTGTTTTTTAATAAACGCTCTGTAGATTATTTTCTTAGGATTTAATTAAGGTAATCAAGTCACTCACAGATTGAGACACAACAAATTATGTCTTTATATTACAAAGAAAGAAATATAATTTTTTGTGAAGCAGTCTGATTTCCACCCAGCAATACGAAAAGCACTAATTACTTTCTTTCTCTGAGCCATCTTCCAAGTAAACATCAAATCTTTTTAGTGAAATGTCACACCTCCGTTTAAGAAATTCTTATTAAAATATCTGCACATTATGTTTCCTTAATTTGTCTTTAAGAAATAGTTAATCCTCTTATGACTCTAACAACTTTAATGAAAAGAATATTGACTTTAATTTGATAACGTTGCCCTAAGACAATATTACTGAGAGAAAATTATTTCCTTCACTAATATCACTCCTCAAAAGTTGCAATAAAAGCCTTGATGTTAACTTCTAAGGTTTTGAAAATCTGTAAATCAGAATGCACCATTTGATGGATTAATGGTATCTCCTCCTATCCCCCTCCCAGTGGCCAACATCAGATTCTATTTTTGAGCACTTATATTTAGATACGGTCATATGTCATCTAAAGCCATACCCTAAATGCCATAAGTTCTATTGGGTTTATGAATTGCTTTATATAAGTGCATTTGTACCTTTCTTTTAAATGAAACTAGTTTTGCTTTTCAATTTTTTACATTAGCAATTTTAAGTAAAAATCAGTGGCCTTATTTTTTAACTTTTCAAATAAAAGGTTGAAGTATTTCATAGTTTCAACAAAGCAAATAAATGGAACAGATCAACTTTAATTTTGGTACTTATAAGAATCAGGAACCGATGAATTTATGTGTGTAAAAATGTGAGACACATTATTTACCATCTTCTCTAACCAAATACACTCTAGATCCCTGGAACTGACATAGACCAAATTCAAGGAGGCCTACCCACTCCAGGATGGAGCTGCCAAGGAAAACCAGAGGACCCTGATGGGCCCCACCACTCTGAAGATAATGCTTAGTTCCCTCAGTCAGCAGCAATTCCAGCAAAGCAAGTCACTGAAGACAGCCCTGGTGTGTGGACACCTAGTGCTCACAGGAGGAAGGGTGGCGTTTGTGTCCCCAAAATGTATATGTTGAAATCCTAACCCCAGTGTGATAACATTAGGACATGGGGCCTTTGGGAGGTGATTAGATTATGAGGGTGGAGCCATTATGAATGGAANATGGCGTTTGTGTCCCCAAGATGTATATGTTGAAATCCTAATCCCAGTGTGATAACATTAGGACATGGGGCCTTTGGGAGGTGATTAGATCATGAGGGTGGAGCCATTATGAATGGAATATAAAGATAAAGGAGACCCCAGAGAGCTCCCTCTCTCCTTCCACCATTGAGGACACAGCCAGAAGATGACCGTCTAAACCAGGAATCGGGCTTTCACCAGACACTGAATCTGCCAGCATCCTGATCTCAGACTTCCAGTCTCCAGAGCCATGAGAAACAGGTTTCTGTGTTCATAAGCCACCGAGTCTATTGTATTTTGCTATAGATGCCTGAACAGATTAAGACAGATGGCCATTAATCAATGTCACAATAATAAATCTCCCAAGTGTCTCTCATCCATAAACAACCCATTCTGGGTGGTGGTGGCCCCAGACAGAGCTTCAGGACTATGAGCAATGGCTTTGAAAGACAGAAAAAGGTTTGTCTCTAATTGTAGACCCAACAGGCAGTATAACATTGTAAGAACTGAGAGCTAATTAGCCTGGTGGCTCCATGTTACTGCCAAGTTCACTTGCAAGAGTCTACTGACACCCACCAGAGTTTCAAGATTGTAAAACTCAACCCACTTACTTGGTGTATTTAAACAGTTTTACATAAATGAGAAACATAAGAGAAATTTCAAAAGTTCTTTTTTACAATACAAACAGATCCTTGGCAAGAACTTGCCTGAAAATTGCTATCCGACCCATTAGGGTTTAAACATTTGCATGTTTCCCTCCTTCTGGAGAGAACATCAGACAAACCCAAACTGAGAGACATTCTACAAAATAACTTACCAGTACCCACCACAAGTGTCAAGGTCATGAAAAACAAGGCAGGAAAGGGAAACTGTCACACATTAAAGGAGACTAAGGAGCTGCAACAATTAAGTGCAATGTAGGTTCCTAGATTAGGACCCTAGATCCTGGGAACAGACAAAAGACACTAGGGGGGGAAACTGGCAAAATATTGGTACCCTGATTTTTATAAATGTACTATGGTTAAATAAGCTGTTAACATTGGGCATGCATTTAACTGCAAACATATACAATTAAAGGTGAAGTATTAGGTTCCTAAATCACATCCCATGCTCTTCTACTTCTGAGCCTTTTTTCACATTATTCCGTTTAACTGAAATGTCCTTGCCTCATCCCACATCCCTTAACCAACCCCTTCCCCTACACAATGCCAGCCTGTCCATGGTTCTTGCAGTCCAGTCATTTCTCTCTACTCTTTCTCCCACAGCACTTGAACCATCCATTTTCCTCGACACTTACCACATCCCTCTTACATGCTAGCCACTGACATAAA